GTGGTCTCTTCCAACTCTATGATTCTATGATTCTATGATTCTACACAATTAAAACTGAACTTGTCTCATCTACTGAGGAAGTAGACCTAGGTCCAAAACATATTTCAGAAATAATCCAGTTTGAGACAGCTTTAACTGCCCAGACTCAGTGCTAGGGAATTCTAGGAACTGTAATTTTGTGAGACATTTAGCCTTGTCTGTCAGAGAGTTCTGGTGCCATAACAAACTGCAATTCCCAGGATTCCCTAGCACTGAGTCACAGCAGTTAAAATGGTCTCAAACTGGATTATTTCTGCAGTGTGTTTTGGAACTTAGGGCTAATGCAGATCGGCATTTTAGGCCGGCCTGGGGGTGGAGTTGGGGCGGGTGACCACATGCCGGCCACCCCGACTCTGCCCCGATGCCATGCGCCTGTCTGCATGGCGCGCAGTATCAGAGCACCCTCTTGGCGCAGCATGCATACATGCTGCACCAAAAGGGCGCAAAAGAGCCGTGGCTCTTTTTGCCGCCCTTTTGGGGACAGCAAAAAGGAGGATCGGGTCCATGGCTACAACTTCTTCTGCACAGGTACTCTCAAAGATGCTACAAGATCCCTTTGCATATTGATATTCCAGACTAACATGACTAATTCTAGATTCATTATCTTACACCATCCTCTCATTCTTGATGGCTCATTCTGCCATATAAGCATTCCTCACTCCTGTTTTACAAACAGAAAGAAAACTGCAAATACTTTCCAGCGGAGAATAATTTAACAATTTATCCTAGAATTTAACCAACCTTAAGAATACAAGTCTCTCTCTCTCACACACACATACATATTTGACAAGTTCTTTACTTGTCAATGCAGTGAGAAACACAGCTTGGAAAAATTCCTTTGGGATTCCAAATTTCAAATTGTGGAATTCCAAAAAAAAAAAAAAAGGAACTTTTCCAAGATCAGGAGGACATTTTCGGGAGCAGTGCTATGGGGTTAACATTTCCAAGAAAGGAGAGCTGCATAGGGTTTTACACCATTTTGCAGTGGATTTATAAATATACAAACAGGGCAGACTTTCCTAAAGTGGCACCTTCCCAATGTGTTGAATTAGAAATTCCATCATCCCTAGCCAGCATGGCTTGAGGGTGATGGGATTTGTAATCTAGTACACCAGAGAAAGTATAGCATATGTGGCGCCAAGGAGCATTCACATGCCTAGTAGAGAGGATCCTTACTCTATCTATATCAGCTAGGTTAGGTCCCATTTGGGAGAAAGATGGGACATAAACAAAATAAATAAATCAGAACCTGAGAAATGCATTCTAAATTTCAAGAGTGTATCTAAACTAATTACAATGTAGTTGTAATTGTACTTTCACAGGTCTGTTCTTAGACCATCCACTTGATGCATCTGAGGATGCAGACTCAAGTCTATGAAAGCTTGTGCTACCAACTTCTTTCTTTCAGTTAGTCTCAAAGGGGCTACAAGATCCCTTCTTGTTTAAGCAGGCTTTTAACCAGTAAGCATTAACAAAAAAATATTTTGTATGATTAAGACCAGGAGCACAAAAAAGAAAGAAGGAGCAAACTGTTACAAATAAATGGATCAAACATAACCCTGATTATTTGTGTGTGTGTGTGAGTGTGTGTTTGTGTATTGGTATGTGTCTGTAATTTTAATCATAGGATAAAATACGGTTCTTTTTCCAACTAGAGTTGACCCACTGAATCAACAGAAACTTGGTAGGTCAGCACTTAGGTAAGTTGCATTAATTCAAAGGATCTTTTCTAGTTGGCATGTGGTAACAACTGGATTTAGGCCATAGTTCTATTTATAAAAGGTCATAAACATGGATTATTCTATTGTAACTTGTTCCAGCTTGTTGTATTAGGACAACAACAACAAAAATCTGTCTGTGTTATACTTGATTTGTCTCTCCCCAACTAACTAAATATTTTACTATTTCATAGGCTGCATCTACATTGCAGAATCGATGAAGTTTGACGCCGCTTTAACTGCCATGACTGAATGCTATGGAATTGTCATTTTGTGAGCTATTTCACCGTTTCTGTCATTTGTGACACACAAAACCTACGAATCCCAGGATTCCACAGGATGGAGCCATGGCAGTTAAAGCAGTGTCAAACTGCATTGTTTCTGCAGTGTAGATGCACCACAAACTTCTATTTTACATTACTATTTCAGAGTGTGCCTCCTTATTTCTTTGCTCTCAAGGAGTATGATTTTCCACCAGCTAAGACAGTGCACTGCCTCTCCCATGAGAACTGATTCATCACCACCACCATCATCCAACAGAGAAGCTGGCCTCCGCTTGTTGTATACTACCTTCATACCGCAAGTTCCCCATATGCAAAATGGCAGCCAGAAGCTTGGAAATCTCCCAATTCTCTGTGTCAGTAAACATGAGGACTTTCATTGCTGCTCTGATATTGGAGTACTCTTTGCTGTCATCTCTGCCATCGCAGGTAATACAGTTGCCCTAGTGAGAACACATAGGATACAAATGGTTACCAATGGACACAACATGGAATTTTTACTTTTTGGGGACAACAATTCCAAGAATCCCCCCAGCAACCATGGCCAGTGGCTGGAGGATTCTGGAAATTGTAGTCCAAACCCCCCTAGTACAGTATAAAATATAGTGTGATGATATATCACTGAATACCAAAAGGTGGGATCATGCATGTCATAGTATTTTCAGTTTCTATGTATAGACGAGAAAGCTAGAGAATGAAGAAGAAAGCTGAAAGGAAGAGAATCAACACATTGGAAATTTGAATTCAAACAACAGGAAATGAAATTCCACCTAAGCATTAGGAAAAATTTCCTGATGTATGTTGCCACCTTGGAGAGTCGTGGAGTCTCCTTTGGAGGTTTTTAAACAGAGGCTGGATGCCCATCTGTTGGGAGGGTTTCAATTGTGTCTTTATGAGCAAACAGGGGGTTAGACTGGATAGCCTTTGGGGTATCTTCCAAATCTATGATTCTATGATTCTATGAAATGTGATGCTGGGGGAGAGTTCTGTGGGTACCATGGACTGCAAAGATGGCAATTGAAGAGGTCTTAGAGCAAATCAAGCCTGAAATATCCCTAGAAGCCAAAATGACCAAACTGAACTATTGTACTTTGGACATATCATGAGCAGACATGATTCCTGGGGGAAAAAATAACACTCGGTAAAGCAGAAGGTGTTAAGGAAAGAGGAAGACTACATTATAGGTGGATTGACTCAATCAATGAAGCCATAACCCTGAGTTTGCAAGACCTGAGCACAGCTCCAGAACCATCTTAAGTTGAAGTTGACTTGAGAGCACATAACAACGGTCCAAAAAATAATTTTTCCAGTCTGTGAATCGGTGATAATTCTGATTCAATTTATTTTTGATTTTAAAAAACGACCTAACAGCATTCTAGCATTTCTCCATATTTAGGATGGAATAAACATTGTGTGGTGTAGTGGTTTGAGCATTAAGACTATGATTCTGGAGACTGGGGTTCGAATCCCTGCTCAGCCATGGAATGCAATGGCACACCGCCTCTGAACAGATCTCAACAAGAAAACCCTGTGATAGGTTCATCCTAGGGTGGCCATGAATTAGAAATGACTTAAAGGCATGCAAAGCAACAATAACAATCCACGATCTTAATCCAGGTTCCTGGCCTTCTTCCCTTAAAACTGTGCAGCTTTGTCCTCACCATTGAGAGGTAGTTATAGTCAGCTGCTTTCCTAAGTCCCAACAACTTCTTCTGCTCTGGGGTCATTCCTTTTAGCATGCAGTAAAACACATGGTAGTTCCTTTCGTCTTGGGCCTGGAGGAGGAGAGATAGGTTAATCTCTTGTAGGAGTTATTCAGACAGTGAAAATAATCCCAGTAGAATCGTCGTTGTTCTCATGGATTTCGATGAACCCGAGGAAATTTTGGGGAGGCTGCCAAAAAACCCTCACTTAACCCAGGATAACTGATCTCTTTCCCCCCCACCCCCAAATTTTCCTAAAAGATTCATATTGTTGGCTGTGTGAATAACCACTGCAAATTGACCTAGGATAAACCGGGAAATAAAACTTTGCATGACTTGAACGTGTTTCGAATAAACCCGCATCATCGACTCCATGTTTATTTGCAGTGCTGATATGTGTGAGCAACTGAATTTGCAGAGATGCACATAGATGTGGTTCCGATAAAAAAAATAGTGTGAACAACAAAACCGGAATGTGTGAGATTATTTGCATAGTTGCACTAAAAAAATAAAAATAAAAAAAACATATGATTACCCCCTTAGACTTCAGCTGCATTACTTTATAAGAGAGATCTAATTTTATTTTCTTCACAACAACTTTGCAAGGTGGGTTAGGTTAGAACAATCTACATGGAAACCACCAGCCCTGAAAGTGGCATGCAGAGATGGTGGGTAGAGGGGAAATTTTGCAGGGTTTGGCAAGGGTTGCAGAGCCGCATAATCCAGCTCATAATTTAACCTTTGTTTGCCCAAAATATATCCTCCAATTGTCCTGATTTGGCAGAGACAGTCCCGATTAATCCTTTGTTCTCCCACTTTTTTATCTGCTTTTAAAATGTCCCAGTTTCTCTGTCTCCCTCCCACTTTCCCCCACATCCTCAAGTTACAGTAGTTGTGGCAAACTGAGCCAAGCACAAAAGTAATTTGCACTTCATGAACTCTGTCAACTATTTTAAACTAAAATGGGTTTAATTGCTTTTTATCTTTTTAATTGCATTTTGTCTTTTTAAGTTTAGGCTTAAGTTGTGTTAATGTTGTGAATAGTTTAATTCCATTTTAACGTTCACTTTATGTATGTTTTTAGCCGTATAGCTCATGTTTAAATTGTAAGCTGCCTCAAATCCCAATTTGGGCGGAGGGAGACATGCTATAAATAAATATAATAACCAAAAAAACTCAGGAGGGAGAGAGGAAAGGATGGGTGAATTTTTTCTCTTCCCAATAGTCTCAGGCAAAAGCAAACTGCTGCAATATCTTCTAGCTTGTGCATTCTTCCTCATTAATAACTTTTGCCATTTTGATCACATTCTGATGTTATTTGGCCACACTTGTCCTTGTTCTCATCTATGCCAAAAAAGCTTACTGGCTATATGTAATATCTAACTAGAATTGGCTCACAATAATAACTATCATTGTAGAGCTGTTTCATCCAGAAGAAATGGACTGTTTGGATCTGTTCACACAAACACACAGCTCAACTGAGTAAGAATATTCTGCAAAACCCAGAGCTGTTTTATTGGAACGCAAATTCAAAAGTTCAAAACACGTCCTATGTGAAAGATAGCCATGTTGATCTGAAGAGTCTGTGGGCTTTGAAAATGCAATAAGAACTTTTTAAATTATCAGTCAGCTTTCTGGTTGATGGAGAGGGAGAAAAACCATGAACAGCATTCCAGCAGGCTAGAAAGAGATATTTCAACATTTCTTCTCTTTCACTGTCTGTGATAACCATGTAGCAGCTGCAGAGAAACTCATGAAGAAAGATATTTAGATTGATCCTTCCTTCCTTCCTTCCTTCCTCCCTCCCTCCCTCCCTCCCTGGATTTTTGTACCACCTTGAATAATGTGTTATTTTTATAACATTTTTAGTGGTCCTGGATGCAACTACATTGTAGAAATAGTGCAGTTTTACACCACATTAATTTCTATGCTGCAGAATCCTGGGATTTATAGTTTTGTGAGGCATCAGCACTCTGATAGAGAAGGCTAAAGTCCTTGTAAAGCTACAGATCCCAGGATGGAACAAAACACTGAAAATGGTGTCAAACTGCAATATTTTGACAATGGAGATGCACACATAGTAAGAAGTATTAGACATCTCTGATTTTTTAAAAAACAATAATATTTAGCATCTGAGTGGGTTCCATGAAAGATTTTTCCCCTGGACTTATTATGTCAGTTTCACAACTATTTGATTGAATCAAATACTGCACAGTTACAGGAGGGTGATCTGACTTTAACTGCCATGGTTCCCCCCTAGAAAATCCTGAATTTTGTGATTTGGTAAGGGACTTAGAAAACTTTGCTAAAGCACTCTCATCCTCTCCACAAACTATTAATGAGAGTGCTATCAAAGTGCTATAACTGTGTAGTATGGATACATCCTGGCTCTCTTTTGCACTTTGGTCCTCAGGACAGAACATCATGGGCAGATCCAGAACAAATGAAACAGATCCTATGTACACTGTGATCAGTAATTCATTACCTTGCATTATGCAGCTAACCATCTTGGCTTTACTTTCAGAATGATGCAGGAGATTCCAGCTCAAGTTTAGAATAACAAGTGCCCAGGTTTGTGCCACCTGAACATCCTCACCTGTCGGCAAACACGAGATTTCTCCAGAAGGTACTGCTCAATCTTGGCTCCCTCTATTGCACCCCTTTTGTTGAAATGGATGTCAATGTATTTACCAAACCGGCTGGAGTTGTCATTGCGAATCGTTTTTGCATTCCCAAAAGCTGCCGGTCCACAAAAACAAACAAACAAACAAAAAAAACTGTTATTCACCAAGCATTCTCTCAAAGCTTTTCAGAAACAGTTTAAAGTAGAGTTGTCTCCAAAGTGAAGAAATCTGGCCATACCATAGCTTGGAAGGTGGTGGACCTACCTCCATTGGATGCATTTAAACTAGATGTGTAGGGGCCAGGGCTTCCCCCC